AATGTGCGTATTGATAAGTATTTACATTTTATCAATTGTGCATCGTTGTGCAGAATATGTGCACCACCCCCCAGAGTTTAGCAACTTAAATGATCGACAAACTTGCCTGCAGGGTAATGCCGGCCCTGCGATAAGCTCGATCTCTAGGCCTTCTTGCGCACATAGAAATCTCACAGAGAGATGAAAGTGGAACAGTAAAAACAAGGACTAAGCAATTCCCATAGCAGTTTTGCCATTATCGGTTATTAGATAATGGAAGTCCCTCAGATATAGTGAAGCCAGCATGTTATATATAATCGATGTTGTATAATACAAGAAATTCAGAATTCCCCTTTGAAAATGTTAATAAAGATACCATCCCTTTCGAAATATATAATATGCAAAAGCAAAGTCATTCCTAGCTTGAACGAAAGTAGGGAATTTAATTCCTCTTCCCAAGTGGTTTGACCTGTTGATTTTCATTTCGAAACAAAATGGCGTAACAATGATCTTTGAAATTATTAATTCACGAGAGGTCCATTGCAAATTCTTCATCTAGGATAAAAAATATATATATGTGTTACATGTAATTATTATTCGACTTGATAGACTAATCCCGTAACTTCAGACACTACATGCGTATATACATATCAGAGAATGACGAAACGAAATGGTCGATGAGAGCGAGTGCATTTATTCAAAGGTGATTCCGCTCGCCCGTTGCTCCTCAGCAATGCGGAGCAGTTCGGGCACGTGGGCGGGCAGCGGCGGGGCGACGGGCAGGAGGTCGGACGACGGCTGGAAGCCGTTCTCGTCGGCGATGAAGCTCACTTCGGCGGTTGTTCCGTCGGGAAGGAGGAAGCTGCGGAAAGGGACGTTGCGATTAGATTTTAAAGAGATCACAAACTGCAATTAAAAGAGTAGCAGAAATTTTAGTAATATACGAGACATGACAGATTTTTCACGTTACCTGTATGTTCCCTGCATGTTGCTCTGGCCCTCAGATCCAGGAGTGCCAGTGTTGGAGGAGCTGATGCCGTTGCTGGTCTCGAAAGTGTACTGGAAGTTTCCGTCGCCGTTGTCGGACCTCTCGTCCAAAATGGTCTCGGCCTCAGAATCGGGTGTCTGAGGGCGGGCGAGGGCGACGGCGGCCAGGCAGGCGAAGATGATCTGTGGGCGGAGGCAGTTTTGCCCTAAACATTTTTGCATCTTCAAAATCTTCATTATATTTTTCAACTCCATGCACTCAAATACAAGCACACGAAAAAATAGACATCTGTGCAGACGTCTGATCAATCTGTGGGAAATGGCTGGCTCGCCATTTCCCACAGGTTGATTTTTCCCTCACAGACTCACACATTTTATGGAAAGTCCTATGAAAATTCCAACTAAATTAGAAAGGCTATTTTTAGATAGAATTGCAAAATACTTTATTACAGCTCACGAATTTTATAATCATGAAAACAAATGATTAACTAAAAAAATATTTTTTTTTTATTTACCTTATTTTTGTCATTTTAACACATGTGGTATGGTATTCATTTTATAAATCACACTCAAGTCATTTTAGCTCAATAGAAAGAATGACATTTTCCTCTTTCTCTGAACCTCTTGCATTGCATTTGCTGAGCATACCATCAGAAGGCTCAAGTTCACATGACTGAAAGTAATGAGACAATCCTTGTCTAATTTGTAATAAAGCCTCAACTGATCTAACATGGAGATTTCTCACTCCAGTATGAGCGACATTCATCTGAGAAAAGATCCTTTCTACTAAGGCATTTGAAAAGATAAGTGACAGTCATGCCAGTACAAGGCCTAATAGACTGCGGCTCGTGAGGTTGTGGGCACTGGGCAGGAGTAGCAGGAGATACATACCGATTAAATCTTTCACAAATTCTATACTTTTGTGGAATTAACAATTAGTTTTTGACGAACTTTATAACCATAGAATTCCCCACAAATGTTATCAATTCCCATGGATATTCCCACAGACCAAGAGCGAAATTTGTTCCCCCAGAAAGTTTCACGTCAGGCCATTTGTCCTCCACATCTATGTGAAATTTACGGTGGCAACACTGGTCTGAGTTTGTGAAGTAAATGTTCCACTCAGACTGCCTCTTGGCGCACCAACCCCGTCAAAGGTAACGCCAGCAATGACAAAGCAGGACGTGCATGCTGTACTCACCAGCTTCATGGTTGTGTTGCTGATGCTTGTGTTGCAGCCGCCGTTTATATAGCCGCGAGAGCTCAAGAAGGTTAAGGGAAGAGGGAAAGGGTTAAGCGTAGGAGACCCTCATGTCTGCTGTTCCCTCAGACGAGGAGGGAGGATTCGTATTCGTACACAACTCCATGTAGACCCGTGGTTTCTAAACGGGTAATGAAGGGAGGGATAAATTGATGAATTATAATTAGTAAAGTGTTATTAATCATAATAAAAATATAATTAAATTTGATATAAAAATCACACATAAGCATTCTAATTTTTCTTTCTTCTAAACTGAAGATGAATGAGGTAGAGGTAAATACGACTTGCCTGTTGGGGGTAACGATGCCAAAACGTTTGAGAACCACAGATGTAGAGTAAGGGTGAGGAGTGTTGATTGTGGAGATTCCAGAATAATGAGGTTAGATTAAAAGTATATTTGTGCTAAGGAGTGGTACATGAGTAGACTCATGCGGTGATTATTGTCTACTTTTGGGGTAGATTAATAGTGACTGGATAAAGGAAGATTCTATAAATATTATATAGTGTTTTCCTCTTACTGTGCAACCTCTGAATGTTACCAACTAGAAATATTTTATTTGAATGCATGAACTATGCACATACTAAAACAAATAAAAAACAGTACGAAACTATTGTTAATTGAGAACATGAAATCAATATTTATGTATTACCTTACAGATATTCTGCATTACGCATACAGAATATTTTAAACATGATTACGCATACAAATATTTAAAACGAGAAAAAATTGATGATTCATATGCCATCCCTTCAGGTATCTTTGTTAACCATTGTGATTTGTATGCAAACATTTAGCTGCTCGTCAACTATTTTTTACGAGCAGTTAACTGCCACTTGCCTATCTAGTTTTATATATAAAAAAGGCAGATAAGGTTGACGTCTCAGAAATATGCACTTTTATCAAATCACAAATAAATGTGTTCATTGGTATTCAGGCAATAATATAAACGGACAGTTTTTGTCAGTTTAAAGAAGAGAGCTCACACTCATGCCCTAGGAATAATGTGCAGTGAAGCAGAATGCAGAATGTAGAATTCAAAATAATAATAATTAAAAATAAATAAATGAAAATTAAAATAAAAGGAAATGAAACACAATGATTTCACGCGTCCCATTGAAGCTTTAAAAACCTCGATTTAGCTGACGAAAATCATATAGAAAATTACATGAAATTACCAGTTAAAAATGAGAAGAAATTAGTGATAAACTGTATCTTCACACTTTATGCATTTAAGGAAATTTCCCAAACTCAAAATAGGAAGGTACACCTAATTATAATGAAAGACATTTAGGAGTTTTGCCTAAGGGTAATGTAACACACCATGTGACTTTCTTTAGCAAAAGAAATATAATCCTTAGCCATATATGATGCGTCATGTGTACATAGATTCTAAACACAGACGCCCTACATGACATGGGATATTATCGTGCTAGACACTATGTTGCACATTCATAGCTTTACATGTTAGCACATTAAAGACATTTATTTGCATGAGGATTATAACCAATACTTCCGTACAGAATTTATGAAAGTTTACCTGTTGTTCATTCAGCTGACCGGCAACACATTTGATCATTTATATTATTCACGTCGATGATTATACATTGTTTTTATGTGTGTGTGTTTATGTGTGTACATATATATGTATATATGTGTGTACACATTTTTTTTTTTTTCCTTTTTTTACCCCCCATTGAGAGGAACGGGTTTCAGAAGAGCCACCCGTTTATTGGTCACTTAACACGAGTGAAGTCTAAAAGAAAGGATATTTATTCATGAACAAATGGACAACTGTTGTAATGGTGACGAGAGCTCCGTTTCTATTTTTGTTGACGAAGTTAGTGAACTCGTGGCCGAGAGATCTGCCTTTGTGGTGGTCATCATCCCCATCGACGTCCCGCAGCCCTCATAAGTGGACGACATCCATCCGATGACCCAAGGGGGAGTCACCACTCCTGGAGCCGCGCTCGAGACGGCAGCCGGACGCCGCCCGTCCAGGACCTACGAAGATCGCGATGTTCTCTGTAGTTGTCCTCTTCTCCTCCTGCCGGTGACGCAGCCGACGTTCTCACGCTGAGGTCAACACCAAACCCCCGCTGAATACTAGCTGGCGATTCTCAACACGAAGAGAGGGGTTGAAGAAGGCGCAGAAGGTCCCGCTTCCGACGACGCCGACGAAAGAGCAGCACCAGCCGGAATCCATGGAGAGCTAGAAGACATCGCTCAGGAGGTCGGTGAAACGCCCCGTCACGCGTACGAAGAGTCAGCGTCACTCGAAGACACAGGAGGCCTCCGACTCGGGCAAATGGGGACCGAAAAGCAACGCAGACGACATACACCAGATTACCTAAACTCGGCTTATATCACGCTTGTGAGCTTGAACACGAAAAAATGCCATGAGTTACCCATTCATTATTACCTAGCATCAACTGTGTAATTCAAAATTATTGCCAGACACCCCATTTCAGCAGAGTACTTACGCTGCTCCTGAGTGATAATTGTGTAGTTAAGCCTATTAAACAGTAGGTAATATCAATTTCAGCACTTTTTGAAAGTTATAGATTTAGAGTTCAATAGCAGCTTCGGAAGTGGACGCCATGATGCTGTTCATTTATAAGGTGACTGCCCATACGTGACCTTGAAAGAAAGTAGGCATTCTGTGTTGCATTTCATTGGGTTACAATGAAGTGTTTTCATGTATACACATCCCGCCTTCTATTTTGAGAGGACTAAGGCATGAACATTTTTAATTCGGAATACATAAATAAGTAGATTACGTGTAATCTTTATTGAAACAATCAGTAACTCCAGACACTACACACGTATATACATATCAGAGAATGACGAAACGAAATGGTCGATGAGAGTGAGTGCATTTATTCAAAGGTGATTCCGCTCGCCCGTTGCTCCTCAGCAATGCGGAGCAGTTCGGGCACGTGGGCGGGCAGCGGCGGGGCGACGGGCAGGAGGTCGGACGACGGCTGGAAGCCGTTCTCGTCGGCGATGAAGCTCACTTCGGCGGTTGTTCCGTCGGGAAGGAGGAAGCTGCGGAAAGGGACGTTGCGATTAGATTTTAAAGAGATCACAAACTGCAATTAAAAGAGTAGCAGAAATTTTAGTAATATACGAGACATGACAGATCTTTCACATTACCTGTATGTTCCCTGCATGTTGCTCTGGCCCTCAGATCCAGGAGTGCCAGTGTTGGAGGAGCTGATGCCGTTGCTGGTCTGGAAAGTGTACTGGAAGTTTCCGTCGCCGTTGTCGGACCTCTCGTCCAAAATGGTCTCGGCCTCAGAATCGGGTTTCTGAGGGCGGGCGAGGGCGACGGCGGCCAGGCAGGCGAAGATGATCTGTGGGCGGAGGCAGTTTTGCCCTAAACATTTTTGCATCTTCAAAACCTCTCATTATATTTTTCAACTTCAATGCACTCAAATACAAGCACACGAAAAAATAGACATCTGTGCAGACGTCTGATCAATCTGTGGGAAATG